AGGAAATCTAAGAACAAGTGCTCTGTATCTGTCTGGGAAGAAAAGTGAACGGAAGTATCCAATCTCATAAGCAAATAACAGGCAATGTAAATCCTTACAATCTAATTCCACTTAATGCTTCCTTGTGATCAATAAGTAACAAGGTGTTAAAGAGACAGTAACGTTTGATAACCCTTCACTGATAAGAATTGGAGACATACAAGTAAACAGAGTTAAGAAATATTTGAATCAAAGAACATTGCACTTTCAAATATTTGTTTATACTGTAATCATTAAGTGCAAATTATAATTAGAATATTCTTTTTCTTTAAATTAAAAGTAAGAATAATCTGTCATTCCTGGACAAGAGGCTTATTCTTCCAGTAATTTCAATGAATTTTCTGTAATTTTTGCACATCATATTGGGTTTTTATTTTTGTAAGGCACCCAGTCACTGAGAATAAGTGAGTGGCCATACTATTTTTTAAAAGAAATAAATACCAGTAAAGAAATTGACAATCTCATAGGATTAAATTTATTTACAAATGATTTTAAACACAAAAAAACAAATAGTATTAAATCACTGGACCATATACAAATATGGCAGAGTAACTAGGAGCAACTTTGGAAAAGAAGGATTTTTTTAAGTGCTTCAAGATAAGCCACAGGCATAGGTAATATTCAATCAGCTGTGCTGTTTTGTAGGTTTTAGCATACCACTTTATAAGTTACTGTGTGAAGGTAAATTGTTAATTTGTACTTTTTATGTAAATTTTTATAATGTTCTGAATTACCTCTACATTATAGTTCTCATATACTAAAATATGAAATGCAAAGGATTGAAGTTATCTGGTCCAGTTCTGGTGACTCTTCTGTTGACAGTTACTTATTAACTAGATGTTCTAAAACTTTGTGTGAATGAACTAGGGCAGCCAACAGCTTGTAAGAAAGGAGGCAGAAAACCAAGAAAACCACACTTGGAGAACATCACAAATAACAGATTGGTTCTGCTAATGGAAAACTGCCAGCATTTCTAAGTAGAATAGACTAGGAAACTAAAATCATGCATACTAGTACTCATTGTATTATAAGGTTATAGTATCAGAATCTTGCAATTTGAATGTGCTTTGTTGACCCTCCCTTTATTGTTGTGATAACTAAGGAGACCATTGTCTGAGATGCATAGACAAGTTACAGTTCTCACCAGGATTCAGATCTCTTTGATCTGACCACTGTCTTGTTACAACTCTTCCTCCTTTTCCTCAATGTTATTCCTTCTCATTTCAGCAACCTACTCCCAACCCTAAGAGTTCCAATAGCTCAAGATGCTGAAAAGCTAAGCTACAATAAAATATACTGGCTCTTCAGTAAAATACTAAATGGGATAAATCAAATTTGTGATGCTTCTGTAGGAGTGGTATCAAAGCCCATTGTAGAAATATTCTGAATAATTTCAGATTAGTTGCAACAATTAGATATGAATATTTTGTCAAAATATTCCCTATATTTGGCAAATGGGTAGACACAGGATGAATCTGTGAGGGAGTTGTATTGGTTGCAGGAACTTGCATGAATAAAATATAAACATGACTAAAATGCATTCAAACAGATCTTTTAGTTATTGACTGAAAGGACACAGTAATGGACAAGCCAACTAACAAGAACATTAAGAAAAATGCATACACAAGGTATTGAATTTAAATTTATAGCCGCATTGAATAACTGCAAATAACATGGTTTGAGTGTTTAAAACTGTTACAGAGCAATATGTACAGATAGTCCTTGATTTATGACCACAATTGAGCCCCAAATTCTGTTGCTAAGCAAGACATGTGTTAAGTGAATTTTGCCTAATTTTACAACCTTTCTTGCCAGAATTGTTAAGTGAATCACTACAGTTGTTCAGTTAGTAACACAGTTAAAATCTGGTTTTCCCACTGACTTTTTCAGAAGGTTGCAAAAGGTGATCACATGACCTGGGCCCGGCAACTGTCATAAATATAAGCCAGTTGCAAGCACACAAATTCTGACTGTGACCATGGGGATGCTGCAATGAGCATAACTGTAAAAAACAATAACTCAGTTTTTTTCAATGATTTGTAACCTGAAACAGTCACTAAATGAGCTGTTGTAAATCAAGGATTACTTGACTATGTCTTTACAGAAACTCCATGTAATTAAGTGGAATTAGTTCCCATTTGAGCAAGCCTTGAATCATGCAAAAAAGAAACATTTAATATAGAGGACTATAATCCCAAATGCCCCTGTCAATAATTATATACCATTTAATATAGATGTGGTTATGTCTGAGTTCATATACATAATAGTGCAAATAGGAACTAGAGTTCAGAATTCATTTTAAAGTAAAAATGTACAGCAAATGTTCAAGTGCATACACTGACAAATTCTTCTGGAAAAAAATACTTCAGAATATTTGGAGTTTTGATAAAAAATCTAAATGAAGGAATGTTCTAGAAAAATATTTGAAGATTCCAATAAGAAAAATTATTACCTGAGTCGAATAAAAGTTCAAAAAGAAATCAGCTTATAAAAGAATTGTGAATACCCTTTTCTATCTTCTCTGTAAGGATTAATTTAGAAGGAAGTCCGAACAGCTGACTCTTCTGTGAAATCAGAGGAGGATACTGTTTCTTCTGCCAAAGTTGACCTTTCGCCTACTAAACTTTAGTTGTAGAGGCACTACAGCCCTGGCAATTTCACAGACCAAGTGAAAAGTCTTTGTTCCAGCACTATGAACTTACCCCGACTAAACTTCACTTTCAGATAAAATGTGTCCTAAATCAATAAGCTGACATAGCTTTTCTAACTATGCATTGTATCTACCTAGTCTTATCTGTACCAGAAAGTTGGGCTATGAACTTTCTTCTCTAATTGTTTATGCTAAAGGCCAATTATAAATATTGCTTCTTATTGATGGCAATATAGCTGGAAAACAATTAAGTATAAAATTTCACTGGAATGTTCTAAGCTGGCCAAACTAGATATGACCAAACCATAAGATCAAAAAAATCCAGAACTTGCTAATTTATATTTTCCAGCCATTAATTTTAGTTGATCATTATAAGTAAGATCATTTAGTTGATCATTCCATGAAAGTAATTTCCTTTTTAAAAGAACACAATCCATCTAAACTGATATCTGTTTGTATTAACAGTAGTTCATGAATAAATGCAGACATGAAAAAAATGCCCCATTAGATCCAGATGCTGCATTTGATAACACAAATGGCTCTCTTGATCCTAAAAGCCATTTCCCCCACCCTGCATCTGTGGGGAAAATGCCAAGATGATGATGATGATGAATTGCAGTTCATGCCCAACAAGAAGATGGAATAACTTTCTCTGCCAATAAAAATTACTGATGCTAATTTGTTTTTAAAAGATGAGGCTACTGTTAAATCTTTTATACATCTTAAAGTCTGTGAGATTTAAATTTAAGGCAGACATAATGCTATATGACTATGATGCTATGAGAGTAACATAAAATAAAAATTCAGAAATAAAGATAAAGATAATTGATAAGGCAAAATAGTGTCTTCTTTCATCAAGAAAATAATACATCACATCTTCTCACCCTAAGCTCCTAGATAACAGCTCAGTATACTATATATTGTACATTACCTATTCGTAAATTGTAGTTGACAATAGCTAGAGCAACAACTGAAAGCAGAAACAAAACTTTTTCTTGCTATTTTATTTGCTAGCATCCAGACAGAGCAAGAATTGTGGATATTTCTAAAACTTGCTGTTTCACAATATTGACTTGCTGTCTCTCAACTTCAATAATTTGTAAGATTAGTAGATTTTAATAACCAAAAATCCACAGCTACTGTGTAGCAACAGGGAATTCTGGGAGTCACCCACCTTAAATTCGTGAGATTGAGAAATAGTGTTTTAGGCAATCTTGCTATTCATTTTTTTTTTGTCTTTCTTTGTCTCCCAATCCCCATAACAGTAAATCATTGCTTATCTAACATCCTTTTAAAAGTCTTGAATTGCCTCATGAATTTGTTTTGAAGCTTTTCAAGAATCAGTTTGGGGCGAGGGAGGGAGGTAAAGGAACCTCAAAACTACGGAAACGAAGAGACTATTTGGAAAGTAGAGAATGGTTGGAAAATAATCAGAGTTTAGGATTTATTTTATTCTTGCCCTGGCAGACGTTAGCTATCCTTAGCGTTGCGTGTAGAATATTTCAAGGGGAAAGATAATGTTGCCGAAGACCCTTGGGGAAGATATTTTTTTGGAAAGGAACTTGTTGTTCAACAACCGTCCTCCAGGGCCTGGCTCCCTGCCACAGGCAGGCCCAGCATGACTGCCTCCCGCCTCGGGGTTGTTCTCGCCGTTCTTGGAAAAAAGCAGTACAACCCTCAACCCCCCCCCCCCCCCCCAGGAACGGGGCCAAGTTGTTTCAGTAGCCAGGTCGCGCCAGAAGTCAAGATTCCACGACCGATAATTCAAGCCATCTGATTGGCTGCCAAGCAGAAGCGAACTTAAATTAGAAAAACCAATGACAAGCCGACAAAAAGCCACACTCCTTTCTCTCTCCCCCATCACCCCCCCATCACCCGCGCGGTCATCGGTTGGGGAATTGTCAAGGCGGGTGAAGGAAGGGCTATTCTGAGTGGCGGTAAATACGGTAAAACAATTTTACGAAAGATTCCGTTTGTCACCCGGGGAAAGGGCTGGAAAATAGCGCGGCCTTATTGGATGCTGCAGAGACACACCTCCTAACGTTTCCACCTCCTCTTCCCTCCTTCTGAGGTGCTTGGGTCATCAGAAGTAATAACATTCACCCTCCAGGGGTGCCCCTTTTGCCCCTTTTCTGACCGTTAACCGCAAGGGGGCGTAGCTTAGCCGCCACCTTCTTCCATTTCTGACGGTTTCACCCCCCAGTCCGGGGCGTGGCTTAATTTGAAAGCCCAGCCCCCACAGAGGGAGGTGTCCATAGGTGTTGCACGTGCAGGGGATTTAAAGTGAAGAGTCTTGTTAGCGCCACCTTTAATCTTGTTCACAGCTGCGATGAAGGCTGCGCGGATTGTCCTGAGAAACGCGGCTCCTTTGGCTGCTGGTAGTACTAATGGTGGTGCTAGTGCTAGTGCTGGTGGCTTCACCGCCAACAGCGGTGCCGGAGCCGAAACAACCAAAGAGGTGGAACGTTTATCGCGTTTCTCTCCATCGCCGCTTTCTATCAAGCAATTTCTGGATTTCGGTGAGGGGCCTGAATGGCGGGGTGGGGTGGGGTGGGTGTAGGAAGGGAGACTCTGGTGGATCTCTAGGTCAGCCTTGGAGGGCTCCCGGTCTCATGGCTGGGAATTTGGAGACCTGTCGCCCAACACGTCTGCCAGGACGTTTTGGGTGGGGCCGTTATCAGTGCTATCCCACACGAAATGCTTCGAAGTTGGGGTGTCTTTGAGGTTGTAGGTCCTTTGCTTGAGAAATGGGACCGTGACACTTTCTCCTCTAAGCAGTGCGAAGTTTGAGTTTCTCCCCAGTTTCTGAAGTTGGGGAATCCTCTAGTAGAGAATGAGGAGTGAGAGAAAAGTTTGAAAAAAGCTGGAGGTTGGGATACTCTGTGGATTGTAAGGATGATAGTACTGCCTCAGTCTTTTAAAGTTCATTATAGCTTAAGCTCTCAGATTAGTGTCCCCTTTGAGGTAAGGCATTTATTCTGGGATCTGTTTCTATGAATTCCACACCTTTCCAGGTGGCCTTAAGCTGATATGATGCAATTCAGATATCTGATGACATAGGCTCTAAACACAGGGATTTTGGCCACAATCTTATATACTGCAATTTAATGTGCAACTAACAAGGTTAACTTATTAGAAAAGAAACTGCTTTTGAGTAACATTGTAATGCTCATCTTTGAAGTCCACTAAGTGCTGCTTTGTTTCTTCATCTTTCTTGTACCCTTGTACTCCAGGCTAAGTTTTCATGACTTATTATTTTTCTATCATTTTTGAAGAGACTTTGTTGAGAATATTTGTGCAACTTATTTTTACAACTTTGTTGTACAAATGTTTTGCTTTTACTTAATAATGTATCTTGATTTGTGATATTTCCTAAATGTTATGGTGCTTAGACAATGAACTGAAATTTTAATATAGCATGTGCACATTTTTCCAATATATTATTTTTTCTATACAATATATTACTACATGTTTATATAAATGTAACACATTTGGTATTTTTGTTTTGGTTACGATTAGCATTACTAGTAGCCAATAGTGTTGCTAGTAGTCAATACTAGTACTAACAGTGCTAGTACTAACAGTATTCCTATCAATGTACTAAAGTATACATTTTAAAATACACAGATATTTTGCTTTCCTCAATTTTTTAAAAGGGAGAAAAAGAAATTGGATATTGTGGATTTTACACAATTATTTCTAGGAATCTTTATAATTGTCTCAATGGGTTTAATTCCTTCCCCAATTCTTCAATCTAAATGATTTATATACATTACAACTTGCCTGCAGAAGTTGTAAATGCCCCAATACTGAAAGTTTTTAAGAAGAGATTGGATACCCATTTGTCTGAAATGCCATAAGGGTTTCCTGCCTAAGCAAGGGGGTTGGACTACAAGACCTCCAAGGTCCCTCCCAGCTCTGTTATTCTATTCTATTATTCTATTATGAATGTATATACATTGTTTTTTGTCTGTTCTGCCAGTTTAACTGGATTTTTTTTTTAAAGTCATCTTATTTGGTGTATTACTGTATTGCTTCTTGTAGTATGAAAGAGCAGTCTTTGTCAGAATTTCTTTATTTCTGATACTGTATTGAACCATTGACCTTTGAAATAGCAGACTGTTACAATAAAAGTTAAGTATGATTGTTAAATCAGTATGTGTAGAGTTATAGTTTGTTTTTTATGTTTTAAGCAAACCTACTTCATTGGTTACGAATACTTGACTTTTATTTAGGTGTAGCTGTTTTCTAAAGCAATGTGTGATATTACTATTGAAATACTAGAATCATTTTAAAACTACATATTCCTAATGCTGAATGTAATTGTTAAAAATCCCCATATACAGCCATTTCAATATAAGTTTATTAACACAATTCAGCACATATATAGTACATTTTTGTACTATATGCAGCACATATATAGTACATTTTTTTTTGTTTTATGTTTTTATAAGATGTTGGTGTAATACTATAGTTTACAGCAGGGGTCCCCAAACTTGGCAACTTTAAGACTTGTGGACTTCAACTCCCAGAATTCTGGCTGGATAATTCTGGAAATTGAAGTCCATAAGTCTTAAAGTTGCCAAGTTTGGAGACCTCTAGTTTACAGTTTATTTGGGTTTGGATAATCCATATGGCAATCAAGTTCCACACAAATGCATCTGTAATTCTGACATTGCTACAACTGGACCTATCTAATTTCAATTGCTTAAAATTCCAGCTAGCAGCAAAGAGAAAATATGTAAATCTTGTGCATGCTATTAATATGGGTAGGAAGTTTATTGAAACTGTTTTAGCACATTGCACTGAAAATATTTTATATATATTTCCTTTTTTGTAGGTTCAACAAATGCATGTGAGAAAACCTCATTCTCATTTCTTCGGCATGAGCTTCCAGTTCGGCTAGCAAATATTTTGAAAGAAATTGATCTGCTTCCTAGTCTATTATTGGGTACAACTTCAGTACAGTTAGTAAAGGATTGGTAAGTAGCAAATTTTGCAGAATTTCAGTTATTACATTTTAATCACCTTACACTATTTTTTTAAATCAAGTAGGTAGCCAATAGCCCAGTGCAAAGGTGATACTACCAATAGTATCCCTTTCTCCCATCCTCAACCTTTTCTTACAGCACTGATTTTCAAACCAAAAAGATATAAACTGCTCACAGGGATAGGCAAGGGCAGGAGAAGAATCTCTTTCAGATCAACTAGAGAGGATGAGGAGATAACATCAAAGTACAACAGTGCAATTTTGAATTCAGTAGGGAATTCTGAAAATGTGGGGTGTGACAGGACTGTTACTGTCCTGTTGTTTCAAAGAAAATGTTGCATTCTTTTCCTATGGAGGGGTAGCTGAGCCAAAAATAGATTTGTTCAACTTGCAAAACTTTCTGCAAGACCCACAAAATATCAGGGAAATATGGACCATAACATTGATCTTAGATCCATACAGTCTCAAATATGAAAAGGACTGTATGAATAATAGCAAGCCCTTGAAGTCTGCAGTCATTTTGTAATTTCTGCTGAAAGATAGAAAGACACTAATGACCCCTGTGTATATTTTCTCTATGCTTTGTAGTATTCTGATAGCTTATGGCACTGGTCATATCACAATAAATAAAACTAGATTTTGTTGCAACTGCTGAATCTTGTACAGATTTGCTGGCAATTATAAAATGCTGACTTGAATAAGGTTGCATAGCAAATTCTACAAACTATTCATTAAAACTTTGTCAGTGGGTGATGAAAAGAAAATAGATATATAGGGGGTGCTAAATTTTTTGGAGAAAGTGTTTAAAGTACTTCCAATGTTAAATACTCCAAATGTTGATTTAAACAAGGACTTATTTTTCTACATTTATACATAATGAAGGTCCTTCTATTTTCTCTTAATTTGTATAGTTTTGGAAGTTACTGTTAACACTGCTTAGCCGTATATGTACCAAGAGGTTTTCTATAGACTGTGTATGTGTGTTTCTTCAGGTCAGTTTTGACCCTTGTAACTGCCTGAAGAAGTCCCTAAAGTTTTCTTGGCATTGTTTTTCAAAGTAGTTTACAATTGTTTCCTTTCTCAGGGTGTGAGAGAGTGATTAGCTAAGTTCACCCAGCTGGTTTTGTGTCTGAAGTGGGACTAGAATTCATGGACTCCCAGTTACTATCTAATTCTAATCCCTTAACTACTACATTAAATTCGGTCTTGGGTCTATATGGATAGCCTTATATTTGCATTGCTTGTGCTCTTTACAGGTATATTCAAAGCCTACTAGAACTAGTGGAATTTCAAGATAAAAAATCGGATGACCACAAAGTTCTTTCAGAGTATGTTTCTTTTTGTTATCTTTTTTCAGCAGCATATTCTATTTAAGTAATGGTTGGTTGATCTTGGATGATTCATTTAAAAATGAATCCCAGAGCTTAGATAACTAATTATATTACAATGAGATAATGATGCGGGAACATAACTACCAGTAATAGATCTGATATAGCAAGAGGTGACATTTTGAAATAAAGTATATGAACAATAAATTATGAAGTTTCAAAGTACTATTCATAACAATCAGTTGTCTTGATTTGATATATGAGAAAGTAAACTAATGCATTTACATTTTTCTTGTGTTATGTTTTATACTGTTTTAAACTGTTTATTGGTATCTAAGAATATTTGTTTACTACAATTTTGGTTTTCAGAATTTCTTATATAGGTAAATATGAAGTTCTGTGTTTCTTCCAGTTTCATAGATGCCATTACTAGGATCCGAAACAGACATCACAGTGTAATGCCCATGATGGCACAAGGGGTATTAGAATACAGAGATTCATCTAAAATGGATACATGCATCAATCACAGTATTCAGTACTTCTTGGATCGATTTTACATGAACCGGATATCTATTCGAATGTTAATCAACCAGCACAGTAAGTTATACTTTTATTCTTTTGACACATCAATTTTTATAGGCTATTGACAATGTTTTAGGAAAAAACATTTCTTCAATTTCATATTTTTATTTCAATAGCATTTATATTCGATAGCAGTAATGTGTGTAACCCGCGGCATATTGGATGCATTGATCCTTGCTGTGATGTTGTGGATCTAGTGTATGGTATGTATAAAAACAAACGTTTTGCTCATAGTTGTCCTGTAGTTTGATATGTAAACAACAGTCATACATTGCAGTAAATTATGAATGTGGTTTGTTGCTTTTTGGCTTAGCTTAGGACCCTGAATATCAGGCTATGATGCTTGCTCAAAAAATCATGGCTCAGAATTAAATGTGAATGTAGTGAATTTGTTTCCTAGGGAGCACAACAAATTTGAGAAGATGTAAGAAGATTTAGACTTCTAAGTGACAAACAATCAACAGTTGATTAGCTTAAACAGCAGTGCTGCCAAAATGCTCAGTTAATTGTATGAACACAACATAAATTAAGATAGTTGGTGCTAGTAAGACAGTTGTTTGCATTCATAAAATTCTAAATATTTAGTCAAAATCTGGATGTTGCAAATTTAGGCTCCAATCTTAGTTCTTTTCTGTGATACAAGAAGATATTAGTTCAGAATTAAGAGCATTATGATGAAGTCTTATGTACATTTACATGGTAGTAAGTCCTGTTCAGTTCTGTGATATTTATTTTTTGAATAAAATATATGATGTCTACATGAAAACACCAGGGTAATTATTCAGAGCTTTGGAGATGGCTGCCATTGTTACCCTTTTGATAAAGAGCTATGCTATGTTCAGCTGTATGATTCCAAGGAAGCGATCAGTTCCTTTGAATGTTGCCCATTTGAGTAATGGACTGGATAAGGGAGCACAAGCTTAAATTTAAAAAAAGCAGAGATATTCTAGTTATAACAAAAACAGATTGAGACGCAGCCTGTTTTGAATGCAGTTCTCGAACCCCAGAAAGAACAAGTTTGCAGGTTAGCAATGATTCTTGAGATTGTATTTGCAAATGGTGGCCTCAGTAAGCATATATCCACAAATGTAGTTAATGTGCTGATTATAATATTCTTTGACTTCATCAGACTTGGTAACAGTTAGCCATGCCTTGGTTATAAATCATGTTGATGAAGGTAGTGAAACTACAGTACTCTTGAAATGTATGTCACAATTGTAATTGGGTGTCAAGAAGTCTATACAAAGTACTGATTACATGATAATCTTTATTGACACAGGTGTTGCTCACTGCCTGCCAGGTGCAATGTTAAGTTGTTAGTGTGGTCCTTTAAACACCTAAATGGCATAAGGCCTGAGAATTTGAAAAGGTGCTTTTCCTGCAGTCAACTTGCTCCAGTACTTAAATCACTAGGAATGGGTTTGTTTTGAAGATGATGTAGCTCTCAGAAATTCAGTAGTCTGGTATATGAGAGAAGGGATTCTCTATTCAGGATATGGAATGCTCTCCTAAGGAGATTAATGTAGTCCCATATCTCCAGTATTTAAGGAATATTTTAGTTATCAAATTTAATAATTCTGTTCATTTAATTGTACTGCACTCCTTATTGTGTTCTTTATGTTGTATTTTATTTTTGTAAGCCACCCTTAGTGCTTATATAAGTAGAAAGGCAGTTACAAATGTAACATTTAATAAAATAAATAAATATTAATAGAGAAATTTTAAATCTATTTGAATAGTGTTTTAGGCCCATAGTAGATTTGCTGACAATAGTAAATCAATTCTTGTAAATAACAGAAAATTTACACAATAAGTTCATGCAATAAATATTGTATAATACTGGGTTGTCTGGTGTTTAGAAAATACTATAACTTAAAAGTTGTGTAATATTATTCTTAAAAATACATTTTAGATGCTTTCCAGAGTTCCCAGATGCTTTGTGATCAACACTATTTTGCTTCTCCAGAATTAAAGCTTACTCAAATAAATGGTAAGATTTTTTTCTGACTGTACTAGTCTATTTCTGAAAGCTTCACTTTCAATAAACCTTACTGCTGTTTTTCTTATCTTTAGTCAATATGTCCTAGAATTGCTAGCTAATCACATTTTCCCTACAGATAATGCTTACATGTGCACAGCTGCATTCATTCACTTATGCAGTACTGTGCCAAATACGAAAGGACCTTGACATGCAATTGTGCAATAGTTGGTTTCAGGGTGTGCTAAAAAAGAATGAATTCACCACTCACCCATTCACTTGCAATAATCCAAGAAAATTTTATCATGAAAGGTTGGCCAAAGGAATGCCACAAATCTGAGCATGCATATTATAAGGACAGGTGTAATTTGAGAATGTATAAAGTTTTGAAAAACTAGTCAGATTTAAAGTACTAGAAAATAAATATCAGAATGCAGTTTGGGATGCACAGATCTCATTGAAAACTTTCTTTTCGTCCATAATAATTGTTTGAAATAAAATTGTAGTAATAAAATAAAAGTTGATTTATTGTGTGCTGTATTTTTTTTAGCAAAAGCAGCTGGAGAGTCTATTTACATAGTATATGTACCTTCTCATCTCTTTCATATGATGTTTGAACTTTTCAAGGTTTGTAATTGGTTTTAAATTTTTTATTTTAAGCATGCATTAAGGATGCATTAATTACCATCAAGGATTGGTACCGTATTTGCCGGCGTATAAGACGACTTTTTTGCCCTGAAAAACATGCCTCCAAGTGGGGGGGTCGTCTTATACGCCGGTAAATACGTTGTCACTCGGTGCAAGAGCGACGGGGGCGGAGCTCCGCAACTTGCGAAGCCCCTTCAAGCCCAGCCGGAGTCTCTCTTCCTCCTCCTCCCATCCACCCACCCATCCTCCGCCCGGCTCGGGGCGCTTGCGGAGGCCAATCTGGAGGTGGGGTGGGGGTGGAGCAGGAGGGTCTCTGGCGGGGCCACTTCGCCCAGCCAGCCCCGAGCCGCGTAATGGCCCGGGGAGTGGGGGGGAGAAGGTGGTGGGGGTGGACTGTGGCGCCCTTCCTTCTGGACAGCGGGCGGCAATTTGCTCCTCCCGCTTCTCCCTCTTTGAAAGACCGGGAGGGCTGTGCTTGGGGCGGGGGGGATGTCCTCGGGAAGTTCCTGATGGGACCCCGCTGGGCAGGGCCACCCGGCTCCCGAGCTGCTTTCCAGGGTCCCCTTGGGAAGAAAAGGGTCCGGTGGGCGGTGGAAGAAGGCGAGCGACCTCCTCCCGTCCCCTGTCCCGTCCCGTCCCTCCTCTTGTCCCCTCCTCCCCTCCCCGCTTAAGAGAGAAAGATCCGCCTCCCCTGCACCGAGCTTCCACCCGGCGCCGCGTCTCCCGGCCAGCGCGCGCTTGCGACTTGGGAACCGGCCAAGCGACTTTAAAACCGAGCGGAGGCCAGAGATAGCCGGAATTACCCTCCACACCACACACACACACACACACACACACACACACAGAGAGAGAGAGAGAGAGTGAGAGAGAGTTGGCAGCTGTCCATCCCCCACCCTTGGAGTCCCGATGGTACGCACGCGGGGGCTGTCACAAAGAAAGGGAGAGGAATTGAGTGCCAGCCTGAGAAAGGCGAAGCTGCCTCTCTAAAGCATTTTGGTGGCTTTGTAAGTTTGGGGGAAAGGGGTTGGGGGTGTCAATCAAGAATTATATCCAGAATACCCCAAGTGTTACAACTTACCGTATTTGCCGGCGTATGAGATGACTTTTTTGCCCTGAAAAGCATGCCTCCAAGTGGGGGGGTCGTCTTATACGGCGAGTATATAACAAAAACTATATTTTGAGTGGAAATGTTGGGGGCTCGTCTTATACGCCCAGTCGTCTTATACGCCGGCAAATACGGTAATTTATCCCATATTTAGCTGAAATGTAATTTCCAATATCTGTGGAAAGCATTTCAAAACTACAGGATGTTACAAATCTAGCAACTACCAAGATACTACAGAATGGTACCTTCCCAACAATAGTATTTTAATAATAATTAAATAGAAAGAATGATGGCTAAAGCTTAAAATGGGTCTTTCTGTGCATTTAAAATAGGATCGTAACAAGGGGAAGAGTGCAGGAAGATTTATTTATTATTAAATTTGTTTGCCACTGATTTGCTGCAAGGCAACTCACTATCTTTGAATCTTTGTTAATAAATTAGTTTTCTTGTTAATATGACAAAAGAACCATTACTCTATTGGTCAATTATGTATGCAGTTCATTTTCCTTGTTGACAGAAACAAATTTCTAAACGGAATAGTGAAAATTTTAATATTTTAAAACCTTTACAAACTCTATTATATTCTTCTTAATTTTTGTATAGAATGCAATGAGAGCAACAGTTGAACATCAGGAAAAAAAACCTTCCCTTGATCCAATTGAGGTGACTGTTGTACTTGGAAAAGAAGACCTAACCATTAAGGTACTTTCCCTACTTGAAAGAACAGCCCCTGGGATTTGAACTACAGATTCTGCTATTTCCTCCTGGGTTCTAAACTATACTTCATGAACAGAACTGCTAAGTTTATAGCTAAGTCAGTTGATCAAAGGACTCCATATATCAATCAGATTGGAGCATAGTGTAAAGGCGATGTGTTTAGCTGAATGTTGATTCTTTGTATTTAGCACTTTTGTATTTTATTAAGATATTTTTCTTGTATCTATTTTACTCTGGACTTTCTGTATATTCTATGTTTTATATAGAATATTTTATTTTACATTTGATACAGTTATAAGTTTAATCTATATAATATTAAGGTACTTATTACATTTGATATGAGTGTGAAATAAATGCATAAAATAATTAAATAATCAAATAATGTAATTTGTTTATTATTAAAATATTTATATAGCTACCCATTTTTCAACTAACTCTGGGTGTCTCCCAGTCAAAAATCCAATATATAAAATATATAATGACTTAAAACTCTAAAACTCAACTAATAAAACAAAAATGCCTGGCACCAGTCAGTTCTAATGTGTATCTAATCCAGGTCTTCAAAACCTTATTTATAAAACCTTACAAAAGCTAAAAGGGTGACAGCCTATTGAACTTCACAAGGTAGCATGTTCCATAGGATGGGGCTGCCATGGAAAAGACTCCTAGCTCCATCAGATTTTTAGGTAAAGAGACTAGCAGCATGCCCATTCTATCTGCCTTGGTAGGAAAGATAAATGTCCTAAGGGAAAGGTAGTCCTGCAGATAGCCTAACCCTGTGCCATATAGGTTATTAAAATGTGATGACCAACATCTCAAATTGTAGCTTGAAAGAAACTGTAAGTCGGAACAACTCATGCAACAGAGGTGTTATGAGCAAAACTATAGGCCCCCATTATTGTGCACACAATTGCATTCTGCACCAGTTGAAGTTTTTGGATAGCCCAATGTAAAGTGCATTATAGTAATCCAGATGCAAAGTGACCAATGCCTGAGTGACCAAGAAACAATGCAATTAATGCACAGATAAATCTCTGTAAAGACCTCCCTTAGCTGCAGATGCTACCTGCTCCTTGAGCTGGTGCTGTTAATCCAGGAAGACCCCCAAAATGCACACTACTCAGTCTGATGAAGTGTCACCCTGTCCAGAGTGAAAGATGAAGAACCATCTTGTTTACTGTTGGAAAGACCTTTTTGTAGGCTTAGTATGAAATAAATAGATGTCTTATAGATTGTAACCAATTTGAACTAGGTGAACAATCTCCAGCCAAGTGCTATTTTGACAAAATTTCCTTTTTAAATCAATAAGTCGGATACAAAAAGAGTCATTAGAAAATATAATTGTTTCAATTACAAGCAATTTGTTAATTATATGGGTATTTTTTTCTCTTTAACTAGATTTCTGACAGAGGTGGTGGTGTTCCAGTGAGGATAATTGAAAGACTCTTCAGCTATACATATTCTACCGCGCCAAAGCCTGTGATGGATAACAAAAGTACTCCTATGGTAAGAGACAAGACCATAATGATGCATAAAGTCAATAGGCTATTAACACTCTTGGCATTATTTTATAGACATAGGGACATGTGAGACACGGGGATGCTTTCAGCTGGAAAGACTTTGTATCAAATGACTGTATTATTCCTTGCAGTGATTCCTACGAATTCCAAAAGAACCTTCTCATTGAGAATCTGTGATAAGCCAGATAGTCATGAAACTGGGAGTCTCTCATGATTGAATGCTCTGCCATATATAAGCCCCTTCCCGATAGGATCTTGAAGTCATGAATTCTAGCATAACCATTTCTATGAAATCTTGAAATTTCTATGAGTCGAGAATATTCTGTAACGCCCCATTTTAAAAGCTAGAGCAAATGTGATATATGCAGAAGAAATTAAATCTATTTCAACATACCATTAAAATGCAAAACTAGAAACATTTCTTTTGCACTTTCTTCTCAACATTGTTTTATTATTCCATAGAATGCTTATTTAGCAAGCATTTAAAATTAAATTGCCTCTGTTCTACTTATTTGGGAGATGAGATTTTCATTGATACCCTTAACCCTTAAGGGTTAACCCTTAATTGAATACAGTTTAAAATAAGAGATAAAAACCCGTTATTTCAATTAATGAAAAATACTTTATTTCTTTTTAGGCTGGATTTGGTTATGGATTACCGATTTCTCGTCTTTATGCTAAATACTTTCATGGAGATCTCAATCTGTACTCTATTTCGGGGTATGGAACAGAAGCTGTTATCCACTTAAAGGTGTGTTATGTACTTTTTTTTCTCCTTTCAAATGTGGTAATGTTTTTTAAGATGCTTTTTATTTGGCTTTGTAGTAATTTATGCATTGTCCTTTTAAAAAATAGTAAATAGCCTTTATAATTTGTGAACATTTATTTATTAAACATTTATTTGTTTGCTGTACATCTTGATGAGACAATAATGATCCTTGGCAGAATATATTTTTCATTCTGTTTAAATAGTTCATTGTAAATGATTTATTGTTTATCACATTCTTGGTTGGATTATGAACTGGTTTGATACAGAATTATGCTGGTCTATGTTCAAGATTTGACTTGAAAAAGCAGAGTAAAATGTTTATTAAGTCTGGGTATTTACTATAAAAATTCTTTCTCCTAAAGATAATTTAGCTTATTTTAAAATAAATCAGGCTTTTCAAAGCAGCTATATCAATTAATATCAAATATATCAGCTATTCTGTCTGGAAGATAGAAATGAAAAAATGTACAGTCTTGCAAAAAGTGAAAACAAGAATTTTTAAACTAGTAGAATAATATCTCACAATTTAATCAATCAATTGTGTATATATGCAAATTGTGGCAAAAATAATAAGTTTATCTCTAAATAGTAACAACTGTCTATTTCAATCTATGTTTTTAACTTTTCAGGCACTTTCTGCAGAATCGGTAGAGAAACTTCCTGTTTTCAACAAATCTGCATGTAAACGTTATCAGACCTCTATAGAAGCAGATGACTGGTGTGTTCCTAGGCAAAAAACAAATTTGTCAACATAGAATTTTATTGTGTGAGGAGTATATTTGTCCAACACATTGAGATGGGATCAAATCACAGTTTCAGAAGGAAATAATGAAGTAAATTACTTGAAGTCACTACTGACTACTGTTCAATACAAAGACTTAAATGAGATGAAAGAAATTATATTGAATGGATGCTATATGCTCTGTTTGTGTAATGTGAACTATTAGGAGAATCAAAGGCATAGATTCAATATGGAATATTGGTGGTCTTGAAGTTTAGATTAACACTCCAAAATTTTAATGTTTTCAGATTCCTATATTTTGCTATGTTCAAAAGCATTGTTTTGTATGAATATCAACACAAAATAATAATTTTCTTCTTATCACACTTACATGTCACACTTATAGTCTGTGAGAAAGTCTAGCTAAAACGTGTTTATTACTTAGCACAATCTTATGAAGAACTGACATATGATAGTGAATTCCAAATAGTTAATTTTACTTGAATTTCCACAAATTGCTATATGTGTGCACAGTATCTTTCAGTTATTTTTCCAAATATTGGATTTGGACAGCAATGGGAAATAATCTGAAAATATTAAACTGGTACCACTATAGATTATCCTGCCTTTTCTTTTTAAGGCAGAATTGCTAAAGAGCTAATACATTTTTAGGGAATTATTGTGACAATTTTAGATCTATTGTTATTTATGGCAGTTTTATCAGTGCTGTATTTTCTAATGTCCACTTTTTCATGGATTCCAAATTCATGTGAGTAAGTAATCCCATCCATATGAAGCTATTGTGCAGTTGGTACAGTGCGACAACAAAGGCTTAGTAGTTAACATTGACAAAATATTGAATGTTTTCTGCAGAAAATATAGTGCACACTTGAAAAATACTGACTGTTATGTTAAATATTATTAGAGCTGAATCATGAAAAAAAAATCTAATTGTTATTCTACTAGCAAGTTCATATTCAGTAGAGTGCATTAAAGATACTCCTGATTCATGGACTGCTTGAGTACCACATTCTGGTGGATATCACAAGTGGTATCAAGGTAATAGCATTAAATTTTGCTAATCCAAAATTGTGGTTGTTACGATAATTTGTTATTATGATACCCTTGTGTACTTTGACCAATATAGTACATAACATAAAGAGTTGCTTTGCTAATATTGCTGCTGATCTGCTCCACAATCTTTACAGAGAACCTGGAATAGGGAATCGGCCAGAGTCTTACACATAATTGTGCCTATGCGCAATATTCCCTATGACACATGGATGAGGGAACTGAAAATGGTCAAGCAATCTGGCATGAACAGGATGGATGTGGTGCA